GTGTAGACACAGGGCCAGAAAGGGCAGAATGCAATCCATACCTCTGGAATTCTGCAGCGAGTAGTGGGCTCCTTGTTAATGCAGACTACACAATGCCAAAAGCTGCAGACTTGCTAAAGCGGTCTCCAATTTCTGTTGCCCTTGCTGCAGACTTATCAGGGTGCGCCCCTAGCTGCAGGGGGACCATTCCAGAGTGAACCTGTGGAAGTCCTTCTTGGGAGAACACAGGACTCCTACACAGTGCAGGGGAGGGGAGCTTTTGGGCATAAAGATAGTGGCACTGAGAATGCTTCAGTACCAATTGAGTTCAACTGCCCCACTTCACAACAAGTTTGAGCATTGGCCTGCTAAACCCAGGGTTGGGAGTTCAATCCTTGAGGGGGCCATTTAGGGATTGCAAAAATCTGTCTGGGGATTGGTCCTGCTTTGAGCAGGGGGTTGGACTAGATAACCTCCTGAGGTCCCTTCCAACCCTGAGATTCTATAGATCAGTTCTAACATCTAACTTTTTTTTCCCCCCCACAACAATTAGCATTTCCAAAAGGGGCTAATCGGGGTGGTTGGCGTTGAGCTGAACTGGGTGCTTGGATAATAGTTCACATCTCTGACTTTGCTATTGTTTGACTGAGGAATTAGGGCCACACCAAGTCAGCTTCCATCCTGACAGCTCTGCCCCAGTCAGAAGGGCTGGACATGTTCATTAATTTTAAAACTAAAGTTTGGTCTCTTCGACAACAAAAACCAGTAGCAGTTACAGGGAGAACATACAGGTCCCTGGACTTTGGATACTGTGTGCTCACAGTGACCACAGTTCAGCGAAGCACCTAGGTCCACGTTCAAACCTGAAACGTGCGTTTAAGTTCCATTGAAGTCAGGGTGAATTAAGGAGATGTTCGAGTGCTTTGCTGAATCAGACCCGATGTTCTCCAGCATGTCTGGCTGGATGCATGGTTCAGGTTCACTCTGCTACCAAAATTTATCAAGTATTTCCTTCAGGGCCTTTAAAATGATCTAAAGACAGGCCCTTAAATAACAATGACCAGATTTCTTCTGGGGGTGCCGAACTCCCCACTGCATGGAGCTCACTGAGACTGAAGTTTTCAGCACCTACTGCCTCAAAGTCTGTCTGGTCTCGTGGGTAAGACCCTAGACTGGGACTTGAGAGATTTGGGTTCTAGTCCCAGCTATGCCACTGGCCTGCTGGGTGACCTTCACTTTCCTGAGCCTCAGTTTCCCCATAGAGATAATGGTACCGGCCTCCTTTGCAAAGCTATAAAAGTTAGACCTCCTTGTGATGTTATTGACGTAATCTGGGACCGTATAGTTCATTGTTGCAACCAAGGTCCTGTAGTGGCACAAAATCTGGTATAAAGGGGTCAAGTAAGGTGTCTAAGACAAGGTTATGGTTTGCTGGTTATGATTATGCTATCTGTATGCACATATCATTTTTGTATTTAAAGTTGTAAGTATTGGCTCTATACTGGGAGGGATAGCTCAGTGGTTTGAGCATTGGCCTGCTAAACCCAAGGTTGTGAGTTCAATCCTTGAGGGGCCTCTTAGGGATCTGGGGCAAAATCAGTACTTGGTCCTGCTAGTGAAGGCAGGGGGCTGGACTCCATGACCTTTCAAGGTCCCTTCCAGTTCTAGGAGATAGGATATCTCCATTTATTTATTTATTTGTCTGTATTTCAAACTTATGCTATGCTTCTGGGTAATACCCCAGACAAGTTGGTGTCAGCTCTGCCTAGCCTGCTTGATGGCCCATTAAGGACCATCAGCTATACAACTGACCCGTTGAGAGAAGGCAGATACGCCTTGTGACTCAGCAAAGTATGCAGGAACGTGCCTATGGACAGAACTCTAAGGTTTTTTCTTGCCGTGTGCCCGAATGCTTGTCTTTGAGACAAAGAAAGAGGCTTCATGACAAGAGACTATATAAAAGACTGCTGCAGCTCCTCCATCTTGTCTTCAATCCTGCTTCTTACCTCTGGAGGGACTTTGCTACAAACGGAAGCTCTACACAAAGGACTGATGAACCATCCCAGTTGGGGAGGTTCCAGAGACTTGATTTGAACCTGCAGTTTACTCCTTCATTGCTACAAGCCTGAACCAAGAACTTTGCCATTACTGTATGTCATTGATTCCATTTAACCAATTCTAGCTCTCATCTATATCTTTTTCCTTTTATGAATAAACCTTTCGATCCTAAAGGATTGGCAACAGCATGATTTGTGGGTAAGATCTGACTTGTATATTGACCTGGGTCTGGGACTTGGCCCTTTGGGATCGGGAGAACCTTTTACTGGGGTATTGGTTTTCATAACCATTCCTCCCCATAACAAGTGGTATTGGGAAACTGGAGTGTCTAAGGGAATTGCTTGTGTGACTTGTAGTTAGCCAGTGGGGTGAGACCGAAGTCTTCTCTGTTTGGCTGGTTTGGTTTGCCTAGGGCTGCAATTGCTTTAAGCAATTTGTCCTGAATTGGCACTCTGAGTTGGGTCCCACCAGAACCAGCCTTGTTACACTCCTCCCCCCCACCTGCCCCTCACTATAGAGTTGGGGGAAGGTCTAACTTTAAACACCCAAGCATGAACATTTTGGCCTAAGAGATTAGCTTTTGTTTGGAAAAGACATTTCTGGCCCTTTGGGCTGTGAAGGGAACTCTCCCAGCTGCAAAGAGATCCAGGGCCCTGGGCACCGTAAAGAGCGGTCATATGCTATCATCATTGGGACATATTTTCGCCAAGCCATTGTTTAGGTTATCATCAATCCGGACTGTTCTAAGCAGTGAGGGGTGCTCTCAGAACCCAACCACCAAGAACATTCACTAACCCATCGGCACCCAAGCGTTGCAAGCAACATTGCGGAGAGTTTTCAAATGCCTCTAGAAGTGCACTCGCCCTTTTGTGGGAGAACACTAGAAAGCATGGCCCTATATTCTAAGCAGGCTCACTGTTGATCTCAGGTTTAGATGCAAGTCACAGATCCCGACATAGAGGAGGCTGGTTTATTACACCCCTTACCAAAGTCCAGCACATACGTGTAGAGCGTGCCTGCCCCATTAGGATTAACAGTTGGATTTATTTCTCATAGGTTATATTTCCTCCTTGCATGAAGCCCTACTCCACTGAACTGCTCCCTTTGCCACTGCTCCAGCCCTTTTCCCGTGCAGCTCATGGAGTCCAATGTGCAATATTCAGCTTGCTCACCTCTACCTCATCCGCTGCTTTAAAAAACAACTCCAAAACCAGCACACTCTTGGGATCAGGCTGTATACATTATGTCTGTACAGCACCTAGCACGAGTCTCCATTCTGGTTCAGGCCTCTAGGTGCTAAGTTAATATGAATAATAAATAACTTCCTAGGAAACAGAGATCCCTGAATTTAAGACACCGCCTCCCACATGCGTGTAGAGAAACATATTAGTTGTATTTAAGGGACCCAATTCTGCTCTTCAGCACACTCCGACAAACCAACTATGATGACAGCCCTGCAAATCCACAGATATCCACTTTATATCCGCAGATACCCACATCCACGGATGCAGGTATCCACAGGACATTTTCGCAGATCGGATGCGGATACAAATTTTGTATCCGCACAGGGCTTTAACCAGAATTCCAAAGAGACTGAGAAAAGAATTTGGCCTTGTGTCTTTATAGTTAGGCTTTGCCTTGATTAATTATTTACCACTGATTCTCTAATGTGTTACTCCAAAGAGAGCCGTTAACCCCCCTTAATCAGGGGTGAGTTACATGGGTCATAATACCAGATGTGCCCTCCCCATCTCTGCACTCAGGCAAAGCTGGTATACCCACAGAACACAGCCCCTTCTCTTTGTGCCACCGTTGATTTTGGTAGTAGCAGCTCACCCCATCTTTGGGTGCAAACCTCACCTCTACCACACACCCCACTGACAGGTGCATTTCTGGAACTCCACAGTCTCATCTAGACGCCTGCTCCCCGTGAAATCCTGATACAAGCAGTCAGGCTTTTCACTTCCGGGCAGAGTGTTTGTGTAGTTTGTGAGGCCACCACAAAAAACAAACAAAAAAATTACTTCTCTTTTGTTTCTAAGAACTTAAAAGAGGTGGCTGAAAAATAAACCCAGATATTAACTGTAATAAGTCAGTTGGATCTGACAGGACCCCAAAACTACAGGTATCCAATTGAGACAGAAAGTGTCACACATCTCTAAGAGACTCCTACACTGGGGTTTTATTGCACCATATCCTATTGGTGCAAATTCCTAGCACAGACACCAGCGCTAGCTACTCTTCATACCAGTGCAGACAGCCCACACTAGGGTTTGTACCCGCCTGCCTACAGCAGTATCCAACCCCAGCCCACCCTAGACAAAGCCGACCATCGCTTCCCCTCAGCACGCTGCCTGGCGCACGACCTTAGCTTGGACAATATCACAGACAGGCGCCTGCCCCGAGTCCAGGCTTCTCGGCTGACCAAAACAACCAACCTCCCCCACTCCCGCTCGCTCCGACCTCTCTCCCTAAAGCCACACGGGAAGGTTTCAGGGCTGCATCTAACTCAGGACCCCTCCGGCACCAGCCCGCGGGGGGAAACAGATCACAAACTTCCTCCAAGTTCCCGCAGCTGGCCCGGCTCTGGGGACAGCCCCGCCCGGGCTCCAATGAACGCCCGCGGTCACTTCTCGCTTCCCCATCCCACGTCGCTCCGGAGAAGGGACCCCACGGGCTGGGGAAGGAGGTGTCGGCCAGAAACAAGGGCGCCGCTTCCCCGTGCCCCCAACACCACCCCACTCGGGGAACGCCCACGCGGGTCAGCCGGTCCCGGGTGGGAATTCCGCGGGGGGCCGCGGGGACCCAGCCGGGCTGGCCCGGGCAGGGGGCGCCTGGAGGGACGAGGGGAAAGCGAGAGAGGCTCGGATCCCCACCCACCAGCTGGGACTTTGCAAACTCCCCTGCCCGGGGTCCCCGAGCCGTGCCCGGCGCGCCCCGCCTGGGGCCGCCCAGCTTCTTACCCCGGCGGCCGCATGGAGGGAAGGAAAATTTGTGTCCTTCTGCCCGGCTGCGCTCCGGCTCCGGCCGCGTCCTGGCCCGCGGGCTGCGACTGGCTGAGCGGGGGCTGACTCCGGCCGGCGCCCTATAAGCCGGGCTGCGCCGCGATCGGTTTCGTTTCTGGGCCCTCGCTGCATTCAAACCTATGGCAGCGCCTCGCGGAAATTACATCACCGCGGCCCCGTGGGAGCCCGGCCGGCCCCCTCCAGCCCCCCGGGGGGGGGGGCAGGGGCCAGCCCCGCCCCTGCATGCAC